GAGGGAGATGGAAATACCAGGTGGAGAAAAATGGGTTTTTTCCACATTATAATTAACTGTATAATTAACTCCAGGATCTCACACTATTAATGCAATAAATTATTAACACTAATCGGCCGATTAATCGGTATCGGCCGATAATGCATGGCCGATTAATCGGTAATCGGTAATCGGCCATTTTGCTTATCGGTGCATCCTTACTATATATATATATAAATTACGTGCCTATATATATAGGCACGTAAACAAAGTATTCATAGAACTAGTACATTTTGAAGGAAAATAGTACATTTCTTGAAGGCGCTTCAGTACGTTTTGAAATTTCATTGCGGCAACACTGATAGGTGGTGATATATATGGAGATTATCAAAATATATTAGAATGTTAGAAAATTGAGATCACATAAATAAAAGACTAATTTTATTCATAGAATGCATTTCAGTCTTAAATAGAGCCTGTGATATTGAAAAAACTTACATTTTACATCCAATTTTGACTTAATACATAAAATATTACAAAAGAAAAAAAACAAATTGCAGTATTTTGACTTAAATTATTAATGATTATGTTGGCATACACTTCTAATTGTCTGTATCGTCATCTGGTTACAAATTCTTCTAGGTAATGTACTGACATTTTATAAAGACAATTCCTTAGGTGACTCTATATTAAATGGGTCTTTACCATTAGTAAACAGAGATGCCCCTTAGTGAGAATTGATAGCCAGAATTTATATGCTTTTCTTTCCAAATTGTCATTAATTTTATATCTTTTATTAACATTCATAATTTGAAAATGTTCATAATGCTGTCTTTCAATATGTTTAATTTTTATTTTGTAATTTTTTTATCTATTAAGTTAAAATTGATTGTTGAATATATTTTTGTAATGTAGGTATCAGTATTTATGTGATGGTGGTTGTAGAGGATTTATTAAAGACTAAAATGTATCCCACAAATAAAATCAATTTTTTGTTGATGTGATCTTGATTTTATAATATTACAATGCAATTTGATAAGCCTTATATATCTTCACCAGTTGTAGTTTGAGATAATTAATTCATTGGAGACAAGAAGCTTACAACTATATTACTTTTTAATTGTGATTTTATATGAATAGAAATAAGAAACGCTACTTTTATAAAGTATCTGTAGAACATAATCTTTTTGTTTAATATATTTAAATATAATGAAATTTTAATGAAGATATTTATTACAATTTTATTAAAAATATATAGAATTTTTGAAAAGTTAGTTTTAATACATTATATATATTAAAGTCTGTATATTGGATTCTTGAAATTTGTTATACCATGCAGTATTACTGAATCCAACTATGTTTCAATGATAAATATAAATTATTCAGTTAAATATGATGAATAAATCAAATAATTGAAATCATATAGTAAATAAAAAATTGGCCTGAAATTTTTTCCTAAAAACATTGAGTATGTGATTGTAAAAGATTCTGTTAAAACAGAATTAAAGATTTTAAGTGGAAGATCCTTTTTCTTAATAGAAACTGAATTAACTAGTCAACAAGACAGAACTTTTTTAAAACAAGTTTTCATTTGTATCATAAGTCATAAATGTTCTCAAGTTAAACCAAGAATGTGTATTAGCTCAGACAGTATAAAAGTTAATATGAATGTGAAATTTTTGTAATCTGTTTAAGGAATAATGTCATCTAAAATTGTTTTAGATTTAGTATGTATCAATTTCATGATGACACAAAAATGATCTTCACAAGTTCTCTAGTTTGATTATTTGACACCAACAACATGTAATTTTTTATTGCTGTTATGAAACTGTAGATTTAAGAATATTCAGTGAAAAAGTTATTAATAGTATCATTAGTTTTATTATTGAAATATTTTCTAAAGGATCAAAACTGCAAAAATGTCAGTCAGTCAATTCTTTATTGTCTAAACCTTAGTTCGTTATAAGGGTGTTACATAAAGCTGAAGTTAGTGCAACATAATAAATTAATATAATAGATTAATACAAGATATTACAAAATAAAAACATACAGTAATATACAAAACTGAAGTTAGTACAATTTAACAAATTAATGTAATAGCCTAGTACAATATCAATCAATCAATCAAAGCTTTATTGTACTAAGGAAATAGTCCTTGTTACACGGGGGTTATTTTATACATGAAAAAAACCATAGTAGTTTGTTTTACATCTTATGTTGTTTTTTTTTTTAAGAAATAATTTTAAGAGATAGAAAAAATATACATAAAAAAGTTATAGTTGCATAACATTTGCTAAATATTAATTCATAACATCATTATCAAATATATTAGTAATCTAGCCTAGTACAATATAACAGAAAGTAAAATATACAATAATAATCATTTTTTAAAAAAACGTTATATATTGATTATATTTTTTGTAGATTTAAATCTTATTAAATACTCTTTCCTGCATGCTTCAAATTTTATACGATGGAAGCATAAATGTTCTCAAGTTTCATACACTTGAAAACTGTAAAAATGTACACACTAGTCATATTAGGATATTAAGGCTTTATCTACTTAAATTTTTATTAAATTCAAACATAACAGTTCTCAGCAGTTTACTTTTTCATTCAGTTGTAACTGTAAGCAAAATTTACCATGTAGTAATTTTCTGTTAAATGATAAATTTTATTTATTTTTATTTATGTCTATTTAATAGTGTAGGATAAATATTTAACATAGAAATAATAATAATTCAGATAAATCACATAAGAAATATTTAGGTTGGCATGTTTTTCCAATCAGCACTTTTTCAACAACTATTTTCCACAAATTCACAATTGTATTTTTCCTGATTTGGAGTTTTCCCAACAGTGATGTTTTTCCTGACTACTAATTTTCCAGAATAGGATACTTACCCATCTGGATATTTTGCAGAATAAAGTTTTTTAATTATTTATATTTCAAGTCAAATTGACTTTTATTACTATTTATCCTAATAAACAATAACGTATTATGCATAATAATAGAAAGAATAACATCTGGACACTGATGACGTAACTACTGTTAAATCAGTTAGATAGTGCTTAGGATCCAAAGAAAGCTTTTGGAGTTATTAAAATTACTGACAAAAAACAAATTTTTAACTGTTTTGTGTAATATCTGTAATATTTTTCAGATATTTGTATTAAAACAAATAATGTAAAAAAAAAAATATAAAAGTAGAATAGATGTACAGATCCTTTCAACAATTTTTGCCTCATGCACAATATGATGTTACACTAGTGCTTTTTTTTTAACAAAATGTGACATTTATAGCATTCTTATTTGATACAGGATAATATAATCTCGATGTAGACAATTATTGCCATGTATAGCTGGTAGAACTGTATATTTTTTTGACTATATATGGTAGCATTATACTAACTACATCAATTTACCAAATATAGCTATATTCTTTATTGTGAAATACAGTGGTACCACAGGATACGAAATTAATACATTCCGAAACTGAGATCGTATCATGAAAATGTTGTAAGGTGAATCATTTTTTCCCATACGATTACTTGTAAAACCAAATAATTCGTTCCAACACGAAAAAAACATTCAAATTAAAGCTAAGTAGTACATTAAAAAATAAATAAATAACTATAGTAAGGAAATCACTGAAAAATGCTTTTTCTAGTTGTAAATGTATAAATAACCATAATAGAATAATAATTGATAAAAAAAAAAAATGTACTTTTATTTTCACTTTACCTTTGAGGATAGACGACGGTGGAGGTGTAAACTGGTGGCGGAAGAGAGGGAGAAGGGAAATGATACTAATACTTAACTTACATAACATAATGTAACAATAACTTAAAAATAACTTAGAAAAGATTAAAAAAATTAGTGTTGTTTTATATATATTTTTTTAAATTTTTATTCACTGCTTTTTGCTTTCTTTCCTTCACTTCCACCAGCACTTTCACTGGATAGAGGTCGCTTGGTAAAATATCTATCCAAAGAGGTTTGGCTTTGCCTACTTTTTAAAATGTTTCTAAAATGACTTAGGCAAATGTCATTACTCCGAGCAGCAATACGGCCAGTGTGAACCTTTTCGGGATGTTTCTTTTCAATAAAATCAGTCACTTTCTTATAATATCTCAAGATTTCCTTTATCGAACGAGATCCTTCCACGATGAAGCAAACACGCAGACCGAGACCGATGAACAGAAGTGAATAAAAAATGGCGCTGCAAACTAATGTAACATTGTATGGTGAGTTTTTGTTTGTATCGTGGAGCAAAAATATGTTCAAATTTCATGTCATATCCTGAAAATTTTGTATGCTGGGGCGTTCGTATCCTGAGCTATCACTGTAGATCTGTATTTTATATAAACAGTTTGTAGTTTTGAGTTTGTCTATATTCATATTGTACAAACCAAAAATTTATTAAAATTTTCTTAAATTTTTTAACCTTAGGTTTTGGGCTTTTTTCATACATATTTAATCTTTAAAATAACTGATAATCTGGTTTAGATAGTTAAAGTAAATAATTTAAACAATTAACAAATAATTTTCATAATAAAATACACTCTACATGCTATAAAAGTTTTCAATAAATTAACTTATTTTCTACTAATACTTTCCTTTCGAAACTATGACAAGTATCTAATTGTACAGCTGCAAGTCTAATAAAAAATATAAAAGTTTACTTAAAATAGTATATATGTATAAAAATGTAATTATTATTTAATATTATGTGTTATAGACAATTCATTAGTAATGAAAATCTTCCATGCAAAATTATCCCAGTTGCAAAACTGATCTAATATGTCATATTTGGAAAATATTGATTTTTGAGATCAAATATTATATTTTGAAAGTTTCTGTTTATTGAAAATTACTCAGCTTAATTTATATATATATATAGTATGATGCAAAAGTTAGTTTTTGATTTATTTTGTGTATAATTTTTAAGAAAAATATGATAAAAAGAGACAAAGTAAAAATATTATTTTGTCCATAATGAAGATTTATTTACATTAAAAAAATTTTTGTAAACATATTTTGAAAGTTATGAATAATGTACTGAAAAGACAAGAATTTGTAAATACAGTGCAGGTATTCATTTAAAAGGTATAATTTTTAGGAATAATGTAAATAAAATTTCATTGTATAAAAAATTCTGTGTTAAGTTAGTTTTACTTTGTTACTTTACCACATGTTTGTGAGTGATTAGCCAAAAACGTAAAATTAGCTGATTTGAATTATATAATTACTACATTTTTCTCAGAATGCAAAATTATTCTTTATATATGAATTTTAATTAAATAAGAATGCTGTATGGAATTAAAAATTTTATTATATTTTGTATACATTACTCTCATTACTTTGTATAATTTTTGATTGGTTTGTTCATTATCAACCACATGAAAGATGTAAGAAATAGCTTTTGGTGATGATAAAATTAGTAAATTTGGAATGTTGAAATATTATTAAAGAATTTAAATTTGAAAACAAACAGTTGAAATAAGTATTTTTAATTAATGGAATTCATATAGTATTAAGATTGTTTTATTAAATGAATTCTTAATAATATGTAAATAACATGAAGTATTGCAAAATTTTGATACTAAATGATGACATAAATCAGTTCATTTTAATTAAATATTCCTTTAAGTTTTGTATTAGATAATAAAATTTTTATTTTATATCTAGATTAATGATAAATCTGTACAATTTATTTTAGCACCATCTTCTCCATCTCCATCTTTACCTTCAGAAAGTCAGCCAATTTCTCCATTGCATAAAGCTAAAGATCAAGGTAAATTGTTTGAAATTATTTCTAAATTAGGTAATTTCAAAGTTGTAGAAATTGAAATGTCACTTTTATAATACATAAAATATACATATGTTAATATACTTTAGAATTAATGCTTTTAATTTGAATTTTAAAATTTCAAGGTAAATATAAAAACAAAAAAATAATTGAATAGAATAAGTTGAAATTTTTCATTATATATTAGTAGATTATAAAGATTTTCTTAAAGTTAAATTTTATTTTTTCTGTAATAATGATTGTATTTAATGCTATAAAAGTATAAATAGAAAGAAGCATATATTTTCTAATTGATTATCTAAATTGTAATTTTTGAATTTTATAATTATAATAATTAAGTAATAAAAATTATTACTAACAAAATATTATTTGTATTAGATTTTCAGATTAAAGTAAAGCCTCAAGCACAATTTTATATTGATGGGGTATTCTTATCAGAAAGTGGAATGCATCAGATAAAGTCATTAACTTTAGAACAACCTAAAAAGCAGAGAATGAGAAGGCAGAGACATCCACCTCTACTCTCTCTTGCATCTAAACATAATATTGATATTAAAACTGATGAAATTGAAGAAAGTAAGGAATATTTAATTTAAATATATATTAATTATAAAAAATGATTTTTTAAAGTATATTTTAAAATAACTCTAATATGCAATTGAATATACAGTGGAACCCCGGTTAATGAACGTCCTGGTTAATGACCAAATCGGTTAACAAACTTTTATTTTGCAAGAATTTTGTCTCAGATAATGAACAAAATTCAGATAACGAACATAACAGTATTTTGTGTCAAATTTTAGTTAGTATTAGGCAGCGCGAGTTAAGCATTGCTTTTCCGAGTGTTTGTGCTATACTTCTTTTTTCAGTTTTGTGATTTATATATTTAATCAATATGGCATCAAAGAAAGAAAAAAGTCATAGTGGCAGTAGAAAACGACAACGCAATATAAACGACAATGCGCTATCACATTTGAGAAAGATTTTGCTTTAAAGAGTAAGACAATCAACTTTAAATCAATTTCTTGTTCCTTACAGAAAGAGTTTGTTTTTTTGTTAAGTTATGACAATGCAACACTTGGGCGATATGACTAGGGGAATGCCTTCTGGGAGGTGTTTTTAAGGGAAACTGGCCCCTATTTAGGCGTTACAGATGTCGAGAAATCCTGGAAAACTCTGCGTGGCCAGCCCTTCTGAGCAAAGTGCGAACTCACGAACGAACTCCCCATGTTTAAGGTACGAAGACCACTTAGCCACTGGTGGGGTTTTTTTACCAAACGAGACTTCGACTCGAAAAATCTTCCGATGAAGTGCTACCCGTTATTTTTTTAGAGGGGATTTTCCTTCTAAGCATTAAGGTTCGTATATCTCCACTTTTCTGCCAGCAACTACAACAAACGAAGGTATATACAGTGCTATTTTATTAAACAAAGTTTGCATGTTTGTTGCTGTAATGATAGATACTACATTCTATCATTCCTACATTTTCATCAAAGAAAATTACTGTATATTACAAATAAAATCACAAAAATTTCGGAGACTAGAACGGATTAATTGCATTTGCATTAATTTCTATTGGAAAAATTGCTTCATTTAACGAACAATTCAGTTAACGAACGGAGTCACGGAACGGATTAAGTTCGTTAATCGGGGTTCCGCTGTATTTCAAAAATTGTGTGTCAGTGGCCACTAAATTTAGATAGTTGTTTGTCTACTGAAGTACAGAAGAACGTTGATTATCCAAATGTCAGTCAACCGAAATATCAATTAACCGAAAGATTTCTAGTCAGAAAATTTAAATTTCCACTAGTGCTGTGGTGCTGCAATCTTTGGCTATGTCTTGGACTACTCCAATATTATTTTTGTTGGTGTGTGTATTTTAGCTGGCAGCACTGGTGCGACCATGAGAGGGTACTTAAGGACGTGCCAGGATTTAAACGAATTTCAACGTGGGATAGGTTAATATATTTTTTCATACATAATCGGTTATTTGAAAAATCTATTTTCCAAACAACCTTAGTCCCCAATTGATTTGGATAATCAATGCTCTACTGTACTTTCAAAATTTCTTGCATGTAATGCTTTTAAAAATATGTTTTAGTTTCTTTTCAATTTTTATATATTTGGACCTGAAGATAACTACAAACAACAAAAATTTTTGTGAATTTTTAATGTTAGTATGCTCACTGGATTAAAAGTTGTCTGTTAGTATGATCTTGGCATTAATTTCTTTAAAATATGAAAGGATGATTTTGCCTTAAGCAGTTTAACTGGATGACACAATTATATTTCTGTTCGTACAAGTTATATGATACATTATTATCTTACTTCATATTTTTATCATATATTCAGATATAGCAACTATATTTAATTTTAATATTTAGAGTGATCTAAAAGAACCAAGATATATTTTAAGAACAGTTAAGAATAGTAGTGAATTATAAAAGTACTGAATTATAGATAATACAGTTGCACAGTATTATTTTTAATTCAGTTATTTTTAGTGTATTGTCTGGATTATAAATAATGTATATTGAATGGCATGGATGTGAAAATCCAGCTACTGTAGTCACAATCATAATAATAGCAAATGAAAAAAGTTTAAAAAAATCTTAGCAATACTGATTGAAATCAATGTGTTATTAAAGAAAATTAAAATCATTATTGCCAAACTCTATACTTTAAATCGAAAGTAAAGGTTAATAATTATATATTTACATTCATGTTTTGGAAAGAAAGTTAATACTTGATAATTGGATGTTAAGACAACATGTTAGGAAGTTAGAGACATAACATTAATACTTACTGGTGAAAATTGTAAAGTTGTTTTTTCAAATTACTCTGAAGTAAGAACATTTACAATTTTATTTTTATTTTTTACATTAAATTATCTTAACATGAAAAGACAGTGTTTACAACAACTTTTACTGGTGATTACTGATGACAATTTAAATGATTGACACCCAAACAGTTGAAAATTGACTGCAAATAATTGAATACATAAAGAAATTGATATAATATAAAGTTAGTTTGCAAATGTGAATAGTTTGATTGATTTGAAATTCTGATTTATAAAATGTATCAAAAATATCTTAACATAAATTTTTGATTCTTAAAGGTTAGTTCACACTGAGAGAATCACAAAAACGAATGAGAAAAGCAAAAAGTGATTTTTATTCGCTTAGCAAAATTGATCCACACAACCCAAAGTGAAAAGCAATTGTGAATTTTAAGCAGCCAGTCATTTGCAAGCAAGAGAAAAACATCATTTCAAAAAACAAAATGGCTGCTTCTGATATTCTGTTGTTAACCACGTTTGTTTATTTATTGAGGGAAAAAGATGCATGAAAAGGAAACAATGCTGGGGGAGTGGAATATTAAAAAACTGTGACTTACAGCATCTACTCTGTTGCATGAGAACGTTATTGTAGCCATCTTGAAAAAATCAAGAACTATATGACATTTAACGGGAATGTGATTGGTGGTGAAATTTTTTTGCTAGCAAAAAATCTTGACAGTTTCAAACTTTGAAGTGATTTGCAAAATGTAAAATTCACTGTAAACAACATCATGTCTGACGTGTTATTCACTCTGTTTTTTCTCTTATTAATGAATTGTGCTCAGTGTGAACTAAGCTTAAGAATTTTTTGAGCTTTACAGTATGAATTGACATAATAATATATATTGAGATTTGTAGTATTTAATAAATGAGACTAACCTAATTAGCTGATGATATAAAAATATCAAACATAAAGTTATATTCATACCAATAAAGTTGGTTTAAACAGAAGTCTGATAAATCTTAAATTACTTCACAAAATTTAGTTGGATAAGAAAGAGAAGTTTTACTTGTTTTTAATCTGGAAATAATCTAATTTATTTTTAGAATTTAAAAAAAAAAAATCTTAACTTACTGTTTTTAATATATTTTCTTCAAATGAAATGTTTATATTTATAGTAATATGATAGACAGATAGATAGTAATTTCTTAAAACCTGTTAGAAATTACTTACTATCTATCTATTACTATAAATAAAAACATTTCATTTGAAGAAAATATATTGAAAACTGTAATTTAAGATTTATCAGTCTTCTGTATAAAATCAACTTAATTGGTTGAATTGGACAGAATTCATTGGTTATTCTTGTTATGCCTTGTGATATAATTTAATAAATTATCAAGTTAAAAAAATTAGATTTATTACATATTCCATACACTAGCTATGATATGATCATTGGATCTTTATAAATATGAATATTTTCCAAACTTAAAATTATGTTTTAAATATTAAATATAAAACTGATTATTTTTCACAATTATAGATATTGCATTGGAAACTGGTAATGAATCGGAAACAAAGATGGAAATCGATGATATTATTCATGAAGAAATATTGAAACCAGATATTCAGGATAACTGTGAAAAGAAGAAACGGCAAAGAAAATTACATAAATTGGGTAAATATTTATTTTATTGTCAATTGAAAGTATTTCATTAGTAAATTAAATGATTGCATTTATTATTTGTATTTTAAGTATTTTAATCAAATTAGATATTAGAATTCATTAAGTTTATGAAGAAAAGCTAATTGCTATAACAATTAAATTGTTAATTTTAAATAATAAAAGTTATTTTCGATACAACAAAAAATATATTAAAAGAAATGAATGAAACAATTCTGTTCTTGTCATATCTTTGCATTTATAGGAACTTTTAAGCTAAATGTTATTTGAATTTAACATTTACCTTCAGAAACCACTTTAAAAATTACAAGAAAAGGATTCTATTTTATAAACACACAATAAAATTTAGGGTGAAGCTATTAATTTTCATCACTTTACAAATTGTGGTAATTTAATTTTTAATCTTCTTATGTTAAGATATTTTAAAGAATTATAAATAATAAATGCTTGTCTTTATTTTTTTTATTCATTGTTTATTATAAGCAATGAATAAAATTCTCAAAATGATTTAAATGTCTGTGGCTAAAAATGTTTATCTGTATGGTTATTACTTGTGTTTATATAACTATATCTAATTAAAAATGAACATTTTTTTCAATATTTAAATTAAAAATGACTGTTATGCTGTTTCCACTGTCTCATATTATACAATATAAACTGATTAAAAAGAAAATTTTGTCTAATATAATTCATAATGGAAGTATTTAAGAGTTAATGGGATAAAATAAAATAAAATAAAATAAAATAATTAAATTAGTTAAAAGTGCTCAAAACTAATAGTTTGACCCTAACTTAAAAACATTTTAACTTCTACAAATGTAAACATAATAACTCTGTTACAAAAAATTTTTTCGTATAATTATATAAATTACAAGTTACAGTTTTTGCTATGTGGAAAAAAAGGTATAGTACATAATATTTTCATTGGTATTACTATCCAGTGCACAAATATTATATCTATATTATAGACCCCAAGCTTCTTTACACATACAGATCACAAATTTTTGAAAATGAGTAGCCACATCTTTGACAGCCATCTTTAGAAAATTCATAGATGTTGTTATTAATTATTAACATCTCTTTATTTAACCTTATTTAAGCAAAGAATTTTTTAATATTAAAAGGTAAGTTTGTATGTATATATCCATTAATGAATGGATATTCTAAGATTGAATTTACTATTTTAGACTTTTACAGTTATGAAGATCACTGATGAATTGGGTCAATGAAATTTCAAGAGCATTTTAAATCAGTTGTGACTTGAATAGTTTGCTTATTTCGGTTTTCTCCGTAAATGGTCCGAATTGTTTCTTCACCAATAGCTAGAGACCTTCAGACAGTCGTCCAAATCTATTGATTCTATATGCCCTACTAATTACCACTGTGTATTTTCATTCTAAGTATTCATTGTCTTTCATTTCTGTTATCCATGTCTCTGTGAAGTGAATAATTGAATAAATTTTTATGTATTTTTTAAAGAGACACTATAAAGTTTTTCTTGAAGACCTTGTATGTTCCAGAATCTTTTAAGGGATTTAATGCTATCATTATGATATATATTTTTAGAGGGAAAGTTCTCAATTAAATTATCATTAATTATCTGGATATCTATATTCTCAATTTCCTTCTTGTCTAATTCTCATTTTTCTGTTTTTAGTTGTAACATTTCGAATAGCTGATGCATTCTCAAAACCACTTATTATTAGTTCCAAGAAATTAATCGATTTCTTCCTAAAAAACTGCTTAATTGTATCACTTTATCTAAATTAATATCATATGTGAATATTTTATTGTCTTGTATATAGTAATTGTCTCTTAAAATTTTAGTTCCTTTAAGATTTTCTTGTTTAATTCTAGTTTGTAATTTCTTCTTTCTGAGTCTCGGTCTTTTGCATAAATCCTCAATGAATATTATTTTCTTCTACTCTTCACTTTTAGATTTAACTTTCATTTTCCAAAATTTCTTCAGTATTAAATTTCTAATATACACAATATCCAATGAAATCTTCACAATAGGGTTAATTTCATTGGTAGTTAATCTGATTAATCTTTTTATAGAACTATTCGTAATTCCCAATTTTTCTTTAATAAACTGATTGATTTCTTTAATATAGTCAGACGAATTAAATGGGTAATTTATAACTATGATATTTTTATTAGTTTTCTTGTTTATCAGTTTATCTATTTCAAATTCAAACATACGTTTTAGTTGGCTATTATTCCTGGATAATGCATCCATTTCTTCTATTTTTTGTGTCAATTTCACCAATTCTTCTTGAAAATATTTACTTTCTTCTTTCAACGAATTAATTTCTATCTTAATTTCTTGTATTTCACTATTGAGTTGTAAAAAATTTATTTGTATCAATTTATATATTGACTTTAATGTATATTGTGACTCTTCCTATACCTGGGGTTCATTATTCCTTATTGATTCAAAGTATTCATGTATTTTTATAGATCATATGGCTTTGGAACTGCTTTTGAGGTAATCATCTTTAATTTGATAGTAATCTTCACTCATTAAATCTTCTGCTTGATTTTCTTTATCCGTTTCTTTAGAATTATCCTTACGTGGAATTAGAATTATCCTACCATACCCGCTCTTTTGCATATCTATTTGGCTTAGTTGTTGAAGAGAACGGGGGAAGGAACTATATTTGATTCAATTCCAGCAATTATTAGTAGACATATAATTAAATCCAAAAATAATCTATTTACAAACTTTCACATCCTTAAGTCGAGCAAAACCTGCTGTTTGTGATTTCCCGGTTTGATAATACACAGTTCTCAGGCTTCACTAAAAAGTTTGCAAGTACCTTCGGTGTCCAACTCACACCCCTGGGTAATTGAGATTTACAATTTCTTGAGTTAAAAAATATAATTATAAAAAATTATTTCATTGAATCAAAGAAATGTTCTGATTTTTCTTAGAACATTACATTTTGTGGAAATTTTCAAAACACAAATTGTTAGTAATTTTTGTTGGTGAAGTTGGATAAACTGAGCCAGCAAGGATGTAAACGGGAGACGGACAAAACTTCTACACGTCTTTATTCTACGAAGAGCTACAGACACACTACACGTTAGAAAAATAGCAATAATTCAGAGGGTCACAGGCAATGAGAAAAAGTAAACAGTGCCATTGTACATCACATTATATCTTTCAGGAGACCAGGAGATAAACTTTTTAACATGTGACAGCCACATTCCTAACACAAATTGTGTAGTGGGACATTACAATGAGAGCAAATTCTTTCTGTGACATAAAACCCATTATTGCTGAATCTGAATATATCCAATAAGGTGGATTTCTTTGATCAAATTTAATATCTTTTCTCACCCAGTATCCCAGGACTCTGCTTTTTTTAAAGACCTGGTCACTTTCAAGCACTGAAACTTTCAAAACATATACCAGAAAGATTTTTATTTTTGCATCTAACAACACAAGTGAGTCATTGGGGTTTAGACTGATAAGTTTAAATTGTCAAGAATTAGTTGTCAAGAATTGTCAGCTGCTGTACAGAACATATGAGTGAAAATTGGAAACTACCATTTTTTACTACATATTTTAGTCATTACACAGAGCCAGCTCTTTTTCAGCATGCTATACTTTATTCTCTTTTTGTCCTTGTCTTTTCAAAATAATTCCAAGTGATTGGCAACATCAAAAAGCAAATTTTGGTTGGGGAGCTCTTCAGCATTGAACAATTAGTTTATTAGGGCTCAGAGGAATGATTGCCATGACACCACTTCATTTTCATCACCACTTTCTAAGAGCACTTGCTCCAATTTTGCAGTTATCAAAAAGTTTTGGCGTTGCATGTCTAAAGACAAAAACATGATGAAAATTACATTGATATACCAATGTCCCAAAAATGGAATGCCAAATAAAAAACTGTCATACTAATATTTATTGTATCTCAGTATATTAATATATTTAGAAATTAAACCTTAAAAGTAAAAGGAGATGAATTAGTGTTATGACTTTATTATTATTAATTTTATAAGAAACATCCCAAAGATGGGACAATAGCCATTAAAGGGTTAAATAAAATTTTTACAATATATAGTTAAAATTAAGATTTTAAGTAAATAAGTACATTAAGTATTTTAAGTACATTTTAAATAAGGGGTGAAAAGTTGTAAGCATTTAGAAAATGAAAAATGAAAATATTAATTTAAAAAATTTTTAAACAATGAAACTATGAAAATCATATTGAAATATTGAAAATTTAACAATTATAATTTAAAAAATGAAAGACAGCTTTTTAATAGGAGATAAAGGCTGTAATATATCACGTAAAATTTTAATGTAATTTACAAAATATTTCTTTCTCTGAAAAAAAAGGGGGGGAAAAGGAAGGAAAGAGTGCTATTAGCTGATTAAACCATTCCTAAATTTTATGATAATTCTAATGTTTTTTTAAAAGATGATTAATAATTCTTATGTACAAAAATCTTGAAATGAATGCTATTTTTTTCTATTTTTTTACTATAATCTAAGTTTTTTTAAAGTCTTCAGTTTACCAAAAATATATCTGTGCATTGAAATAAATAGATTCGGTTTCTTATTACATCTACATAAAAATAAGCCTTGTGCATTCAATCAGTCTTTCCTTGGTAAAACCTATTTTTTTTAAAACTATCATTCTAACATTTTCAAACTGATGAATAGAAATTGTAGTCCAGATTTGATAGATGTTATATAAGATAATTTTGTTTTATGTAGTTGTCATTTAATTTTTATGGAAAATTGTTGAAATAAAAATACATTGATAGCTTAAACTTTAATATTAAATGAAAATTTTTTATTATGCATTTTTCCTGAAGAACAGGATGAAAATTCTTGAATTGCTAAGAAGAAAGTAACTAAATCAATGTTTTTTGTTTTGATGTTGTGTATTTAATAGTAAAAATTTTGTTATAAATTGTAATATGGGTTTAATATTGTAACACATTTATTTGTATTGTTAACTTTTTGTAATGGAGGTCTGGCTCTATTCATGAGGCTCTGGAAATTTTAATTGTAGCATAAATTATAAAATTATTAAAATAATCAATATTTTTTTGAATTATTCTTAATATATGAAAATAAATTAATAATTTATTTTGTTTAAGTTTATGAATTATAATTTTTTTTTTTTTGGCCAAAAAATTAATATATTAAATGTATTATTAATATATTTTAGGAATTGGTGGCTTTGTTGCTAGGCCTAGAGGAAGAAGTATATCTACAAAAGAACAATGTAATGAATTAGGTTCAGCAGGTAATAAATGAATTTTTATACAATGAATATATTTTTTACGTGACAGATCGCTTTATTCAAATGTTTGATTTACTCATATACATACTTGACATTGATATACTTTTGAGGAGAAAGTGCTTATCATTCTTTTGTCATTATATTTGCTAACAAATTCTCAGTTTGTGTTTTTAACTTTTTAATTTACATTATATTGTTTTTACGAAAAGGCTAATGAAAGTTTTTCTCTAAATAAATTATTTTATGTTGAAAATTTTTTACACATTATTGCTAATTTGAGATTGTATTCTATGTTCAGAAGCTTATTTTACACTTTAAGTGCAGTTTTCACTGTGCACACAGTTTAAACTTTGAAGTGAATTTTTGTCAAATTTGGCATTTGAACTCAGAATCAGTTGAAATTAGAGTTGTTTGAAGTATGAGATACCACTCTATTAGCAAAAATATATTTGTTGAATTTTAATACAGTAGAGCATTGATTATCCAAATACTGATCAACTGAAACATTGGTTAACCGAAAGCAATTCAATCAGCAAATTCAAATTTTCACTAATGCTGTGGCACTGCAATATTTGGCTATGTCTTGGGCTACTCCAATATTATGTTTGTTGGTGTGCGTGTTTTAGCTGGTAGCCCTGGTGCAACTACAAGAGGGTACTTAAGGATGCACCAGTATTTGAACGAGGCTTTTCCCCCCCATTATGAGTGGTGAGTTTTGCTTGTTTTTTGTGGTGTTTTTCTCAGGACTAGTCGGGATGCGTTGTGTCATGCTGAATCGGAACATTTTTGATACTGGTGTGAGGTCTCAAAAATGGGTTGATATTAAAGATTTATTATAGTAATTTGGTAAAACGAAACTAGAAAAATCGTCCATTGTTAAAAACCAATCAAAGATTGGATTAGTTGTGCTAGTCATATGAAACCATGAGAAGAGAAAAAAAAATTGCTATTGATGTACACAGAACACAATAATTATAAATGATTAATAATTGTAAATGAACAACCTCCAGTAGAGATGGACCTTTGACTAGTCGCTCATATACAAATAATTAGAACATAGAAATTTTGAAAAGGGGGTAAGGTTAATGACAAAAAGGGACATCGCGTTGGGTTGTTAAATTTCAAAAACGTTACAGACTAGACAACAATGGTGGAAAATATGAGCACAAGTTTCAAAGTTTTATCAACATTTTGCATCCAGAGTAACGGATGGTTTCAAGTAGATTCTTCGAAGCGGATCTTTCTGGTGACTATAACAGGAATTGTCTTTTGCTTAGAGACAGATGAGGGACCAATCGGAAAGGGAGAAAAAAGGGACATGGAGCCAATCAGAAGAAAACAAAACAAAGAATGGAGATTGATATAATTCCTGATTTTCAAGGACAGACTTACTTTCTGAAATCTGTGCAACTGCGCACCTGCATATGGTTAGTCAACACGCAAAAGCAGTTTCCATCTGTTGTGCCCAACTTGTAACCTGTGACTACAAACTCAAACTGCTGACACTGACTGATGAATTTCCACACCTGTTGTTGCTCCGGGGCCTACCTTCAAGCAATATTAGAAAACATCCTCAACAATTTGAACATCCAATTATTTAAAGAACATTTTTGTTTCATAGTGTAAGTTATTTTATGTTTAAAATAAATGGGTTTTTGTGAGATTCTTGCCATCTGTGTCTCCTCCGCCACACCCACACGTGAACAACCCTAGATTATCCTGATGCGGGATTAACGTTTCCACCTGTAAGTCAGCGAACTTACACTGGTGTCCGAGAAGTGGGATTTAAGTCCCCAGTCTCAATCAGCTCAGTGAACTTACATTAGATTAACTTTCGAAATATAATTTTTTTATTTTTTTATTTTTCAATATATTTATTTTGTTTATACAATTATTATTTAAAAAAAATTTTTGTTAGGCTTAACATCGACAAAAATTCAATGTGAAGTGACACACAATGTAGAGAAATTTCAACATGGGATAGGTTAATATATTTTTTTGTACATGATCAGTTATCCAAACAACCCCAGTTTTGAATTATTTGGATAATCTATGCTTTACTGTATTTATATGAACTTTTGATTTGTTTATATATATATATATACACATACATACACATACAGTAAGCAAAAAACATTGTTCATATGGCAAGGGAGTTTCATTTTTCCCAGTCATTTTTAAAAGTATGATCATGTAGCACAATAAAAAAAACATAGCCAAAATACAAAATAGAGAAAAAACATTTTATATTTCTGTTCCCAAGAAGCATAACTATAGTTGTGCATAAATGTAAGAGGAAAAATTAAAATAATGACAAAATTATTAAACAATAACCAAACACCTCTATCGTTGCCGAGGAAGTTTATTTAAAACAAACATTTTTGACCTATTCCATAGGCCATCGTCAGATTGAAAACAGACAATTGGAAACAGACAATTGGAAGGTTTTGTTCCACAAGATCGAATACAAATATTTAAATTTCAAAAAAACTGACAACAGATAAAAAATAAAATAAAAAATAAAAATAAACTCAAAAATACTACTAAATATAAGTATCGACTAATACGATTTAGAACAATAAAATTAATGTGTAAATTATGAGTTCCTGACAGATTTTTTAACAATATACTTCCAGGTTGATGGAAGGCCTTCCACGTCCCTCACATTTATACATGTCATTTTCTAGAGACATGTATAACATATCTCTAGAAAATGACATGCATAAATGCGAGGAACAAAATCTTCCAATTGTCTGTTTTCAACCTGACAATAGCCTATGGAATAGGTCAAAAACGTTTGTTTTAAATAAACTTTCTCGGCAATGATAAAGGTGTTTGGTTATTTTTAACATTTTGCTGAGCACGTTCTATTTTATGACAAAAGTATTGCAAAAAAATTGATCATACAATTTTGTTTACATGGTGAACATTTTTCACTATTGTTAAATTTAATCCTTTGCTTTCAATTATTGCCAGACTTTGTTTTGGCATTGATGCCATTAGCTTTTGACAAAGATTGGGTTGGTTGTTTTCAGACATTTTGTATGAACTTCTTTATATCTGCCTTGTTTTGCATCCCCTTTGCTATTTGGTTTTTCATATCACTCCATAAATTTTCAGTTAAATTGACCTCTGGTGATTGGGGGGACCAATTTAACTTAGTAATGTCATTACATCAAAAATAATCTTTAACAATCTTCACTGTATGTTTGGAGTCATTGTCTTGATAGAAAACAGATATTATCCAACTTCATTTTGCAAACTGACTCTACCAAATGTTCCGTGAGAATGTTTAAGTAGTCTTCTCTCTTCATTCTTCTGTCAATAAGTACTAATTTGTCAACTTGTTTTGCTGTGAAACAGCTCTAAGCTATTACTGATACCCCCACCAGTGGCAGATTTAGCGCTTGAGATGCCCCAGGTGCAATTTAATTTTGAGGCTCCCCTCTAAATATTTTCACTACCTCTATACCCTACAGTGTGCATTCTACATGCACATTTTTTCTCTGGTAGACACTATACCAGTGGTCCAAAAAAAGCGAGATACAGTAGAGCATCGTTTATCCGATTCAATTGGGGACTGGGGTTGTTCGGATAACTTATTTTTTGGATAACCGATTATGTACGAAAAAATATATTAACCTATCACATGTTGAAATTTTTCTTTGTTGCATGTTGTTTCGTGTTGATTTTTTGTCGATGTTAAGTCTAACGTGAACTTTTTAAAATAATAATCGTGGCTATTGTATCGATAAAAATTATTTCTTTATTTTTTACAAACAAAATAAATATATTGAAAAATATAAAAACAAAAAATTATACTTTAAAAGTTAATCTAGTATCAAAAATGTTTGATTCAGTGCGATACACAGTCCTCAGAAAAACACCACACAAAAAGCCAGTGCTGCCAGCTAAAACACACACATCAACAAAAAAAAATATTGGAGTAGCCCATGATATAGCCAAAGATTGTAGCGCCACAGCACTAGCGAAAATTTAAATTTGCCGACTGGAATTCTTTCGGATAATCGACGTTTTGGATAACCGACTTTCGGATAAATGACGCTCTACTCTATAAGGAAATAACATTGAAAATGAACCAATATAAAATTNGATAACCGACTTTCGGATAAATGACGCTCTACTCTATAAGGAAATAACATTGAAAATGAACCAATATAAAATTACAACTGTTTAGCTGTATTTAAAATGATACTGATGTTCAGATTGTATTAATTATGAGAATTGAAACTTATTGGTACAAGAAGTATTAAGTTTCAATAGGTAAAAGTGTTAAAAACAAAAAGAAACATCTAGTAATCCATGGATATAAAAAATAATTTATTTTAAAATTTACTACTGATTACCACCCACAAAACATGTCATAGCTGGTGTTATTCATTTGTCAATTTAATTTAGGTAATACTACTAAATTATTAATTATTCATTATTATTACATTCAGGTAGAGAAAATTTACTCTAGCATAGTAAAACCTTGATATAACACACTCCAAAATAACGCCATCGCCTTAAAGAGCCAATGAATATTTATAAACTAATCTTCTCTATAAATATAAGAGAACTTTTCAAGTATCTATAAATTACTAAACGTACAATTTTGCTTTTCAAATTAAATTATCACAAAATTACGAGACTCAAACAACTATATTGTCTTAAGTATTTCAATTAGCTTCCTACTTCCAATATCAAAAGCAAAAAAAAATGGTGAATCTAAACCGAAGTTAAGTAATTTACAATGCACACCTGAAATGCTTATTTATAGTTAATGAAATAAAATCCTTTTAAAGTGATTAAAATTGGTGTGATGACCTTAACAAAATATTTAAATTTTTAAAGAACAATATTTTAATTTCGTTGTTAGCATTAAAATTTTAATCTTAGAATTTAAATTAAGACATTAAATTCTAAAACTATTTATGACATTAGTTTATAAAGATATTAACATTAATTTTATATGGAAACAAATTTCAGAAAGTTTAAAAATATTTCCCTTTTAGAAAATCGTTGTGATTATATTAATAATTTATCTAGAAAATTGAATCGTGGTTTATCTTTAGAGATAATCTATTTTTAAAAGATTCTAAATAAAAAAATTCCCTAAAGAGTTGCATAATGAAAAAACTTTATCAAAAACTTTTTTGATTAGTTTCTAGTACTATACTTATTTTTCTTTTTAAGTTATCGTCTACTACTCTATTATAGATAAAAAAGACTAAGTATACAGTCCAGGAAAATTGAACTTTTTTTTGATTTTTTTAATGAATTTTCATTTTCCCAACTGCTATAGAATAACTGAGATAATTGTAATCGATCAAATTTTAACCCCCCCCCATTTTTAAAAATATTTCTTAACATTATAAAGTCATCTGATTTCATCATCATTAAAAAAAAAACTGAATACTGTATATGTATTTTGTTTGTTGGCCTATATTTTGTTTTATATCTCAGGAACCCATTAACCAAAAATTTTGAAATTTGCCCGGAATACTTCTATTTATGGTACATTAA